AGCACAGTGGGATGAGCGTGGTGAGGAGCACCAAGGGCTGCAGGGGGGCTGATGTTCTCCATGTGCTCCATCTCCAGGGACTGCATCAGTTGGCCCCAGGGTCCAACACCCTCGGAGGTGAAGATGTGCGGGAAACCCCCAGAGACCAGTCTCCCTGATCTGCTTTCCAGCCCCTGCTATGCAGCAGTCTCAGGGGACTGGAAGTCCCTGAGGACAAGTTGTCCCCTCTCCTGGGACACAATGTGCAGGCAGCTAAAGCCTAGACACCTCTTGGCTGCTTCTCCAGCAGAAAGCTGGAACTTTTTCAAAACGAAATTTTGCCTACAGCACATTTCAAACACGCAAATGCTTGTTTTCCCTTAGGAAATGATTGCAGTTGAAATTCCCAGCCCTCCTATTGCACATCTGACTGCATGTTCCTGCATATTCCATTCCCTCTGATTGCACAGAAGCTGGGTTTGGGTTTCTCAACTGTCTTTGCCTCTGGCCATTGATGTTCCATGTCCCATCCTCTCACCCAAATATCTCCTTGCCTACTCAGGAACATCTGGGTATTAGAAGCCAGATTAACAGTTTGTATCTTGTTTTAACTCCCCCCAACCCTGTGCATGTCCAGCTCCTTGGACAAAGACAGAGCTCTGGTGGTTACTGTATTGTGTACAGTAACCTGCAGTAACCTGACAGTGGAGGGGGAGATACCTCAATTCTCTTTATCTGGTCTAGGATGCTGCTGCAGCTTCTTTCTGTGATAGCAGGGATTCCAAATGTGACACACAGTCTGCTCAGGAGGGTGGCAAAGGGCCTTGGAGGCCTAGAGCTCATTCCTGTAGGGATGACTGGGTAAAGACAACATGGATGTCCATAGCAGGGCAGGTCTGTGCTGCCCCCGTACTGGAGCGGGGAGCTGTGCTGCCTGGTGACTTCATCAACCCCATCTGAATTGCAAAGTAGGCTGGGCCGAGTCCCTCTCAGCTGGTAAAGCATTTAGAGAGAGCACAAGGCCTCTTTAGGGACTGCAGTCCATCCTGAATTTCATCTGGAAAAGAGCCAGGAACAGGGCTAGGATGTACAACTGCAACAGCTCAGGCCAAAGGGCTGCTCAGACACTCTGACCTTGGTCTCCATTCCATTGCTCTCTGCAGCTCCCCTGCCACAGAAATAATGCCTTTGGGCACCTTCCTCTGCAGTCTCCAGTCACTGCCCGTCAGTCTGGCTGGCTGATACTGTGACAAGGACGTCCCTACTGCATCCCAGCTCATCCTGCTGTGCCCCCGGCTGCTCACACAAATCACATCCCCCAAGGAATCACAGTGGGGGACACACCCTACCACCCTCCTGGGGGATGTGGAGAGCTGTGGGGGGCCCTGCACTCCCTTCCTTGTCCACTGTCCCTGCCCACCTCAACCTCAGGCTGGAATTTAGTTCTGTTCTCTGTCCCTGCCCCTCATTGCGTTGTGCAGGGCAGGGACCCCCCAGGGGCAGGTTCCCTCTCCCTGCAGGGTTCCCAGGTCATGGGACTGCCCCGGGCAGTGTCCAGATACCCAAGCAGTAGGAACAGGAGGTGTGATGAAACTGGGCAGGAGGAAGGAGGCTTCAGCCAAGGCATGGAGATGGGGGAGGAGAGGAGGGTTGCCTTCTTCCAAATTCATTGCCCTACTGACCCCATCTGTGCTGCAGCCAGCTGGAAACAGCCTCTGCAGTGCTCAGAGGCCCTGGGGAAAGCATCTGTGCAGTCGTGTCACTGCTCCTGGAAGGCAGCACACTCTGACTGCATCCACTCTCACCTCTGCTGTGCCAGCTCATGAGGAGTTTTTCTCCAAATATTCTCAAGGATCTTTTCTTCATCTTTTCAACTTCTTTCTTTATAAAAATGTGACTCCCAGACATGTGGGCAACTTTCCTGTGCAGGGTTCCCCAGTGCTTCCTGCAGAAGAACTGCTGCCAGCTGCTGCTCTGACTCCTCAGGGTGAATCCAAGGACAACATTGCCACATTTTGTTTGGAAATTCATGATCTCTGACCCGCGGGTGAAAATTAGAGACCACCTTCACAGTCAATGTCTCTGCTGCATCTGCAGTCCTGTCCAAAGGGCAGGACCAACAATACTTGCTTCTACAAGTATTATTCTACACTGACTGTCCTAAAATACTACTTATTAAACAATCCAAGTGATTTCGCACCATTGTTTGCTGTCTCACAGATTTTGTCATCAGTCATTGTTTCCAGAGCAATGACAGGAATGCTGAAGTATCAACCACATTGCAAATCCTTTTATCCCTGTAGGAATACCCACATCCCACAACAGTTCTTCACTACCAGGTCTGGAGACCAGCAATGGCCACTGAGCATGTGCTTTACTCATTTTTATACCTCAGATTAACTTGCAGCTGTACACAGCAAGCATTTCCCCAGCCTGTGTTATAGCTGTGCAGTTACTGCTATCAAATCAGTATCAGCTTTCCCAAAGGAAGAATTTAGTTTGTTTGGCAGCTCTGTGATCAGTGGCACAAATTGCATATTCCTAATATCCGATTTCCTCCTTTATGAAATTCCCTATTATCTTTCCTACCTCTGGGACTGATGCCTCACCTCGAGGCAAATGAAATTTCCAGCCGGTTCAATGCTGCTCCCCTGAAGTCTCCAGGTTTTACACTGACTTACTCTGGTCGTAGGAGGAATTACAGCATTGACCGGCACAGGGGCATGGCACCAACACCCGCCCCGTGCTCGTACCCAGCTCCTCTGCATCCAGAGGTGCCAGACGTGAAGAGCAGGATCACATTTTACACATACTAATTGCAAACAGGCAACAGTGGTCAGTTCCCGAGCCAAACCGTGGCTGAGAATGTTGCCATGATAAGCCAGGAGGCAGTGAAAGGCAAAGCAGAGACCATTCCTCACTGCAGAGTCTTCTCAAGGATCAGCTGGTGGATGTGGTTGTACTCACCATGTACACAGCTCCCACCCTGGGAAAGCCCTGCATGCACCCATTGCCTTCAGAGGATCAAAGAGCCCGAGAACACAGCGAGAGGGGGATCCATGTGGTGACAACATCTGTGCTGGCTGAGCCTGGTTGCTGGGAATTGTGATCTGGGCTGTTCCTGGTGCCAGGACAACAAGGATGGTGGGAGGCATGACCTGAAAGGGAAGCAGGCATTTTTCAGATCTCTGCAACCGTGCCAGGAACAAGAGCCTCTGGAGACAAAAAATGAGTGGGGGCACAGAGGGAAGAGGCTGCCTCCTGAGCATGGTCATCCCAGACTCCTGGGCAACACAGGAGGAGCTCAATTGCTGCACTCCTTCTTCTTGCTGTAGGGAACTCCAGATTTCCAGGAGGAAAGAGCTTTTGTACTCCAAATAACATTTCAAAGTCTGCCTTTTTCCTTTGTCTTCTCTGCTATGTCCCCTGCTGTGGCCAGGTCTTGGCTTTATTATTCTATTGCCATCACACCCACCAGGATCCAGGTCTGTATAGCCCACTCCAGAACAGTTTCTTACCAGACAACCTACTGCAGATGCGCCTGGTAGGCAACATGGAATGAAGTCAAACCTGTGCAGACTAAAGGTATAGATGCAACTCTGACTTGCACCCTTTGTCTCTTCAAGACAGCATTCGAGCCCCTTGTGGTGGACAAACCCACACCACGTGAGTCCAGCAAGGCCCTCAGCTCCGTGTGTGGAGGAGTGGGAATGCCACAGTGACACTGAAAAGGGTTAAGCATGCCTGGAAGTTTGTGCCAACAGCACAGCAGAGTCGGTGTGGAGCTCCATGCCAAGCACTGCAAGAGTTAAGGCGAGATGGGGCCATTTTCCTTCTCTCGTGGAGCACATCATAACCTCCCTGGGTTTCACTGCTTTCCCAAGCAATGGGCTGCAGCTTCCTGAGAGGGTCTCACGGCTGTAAAGGGGCTGTGCAGCCCACAAGCCCCTCGTCTGCTGAGCCCCTGTGGTGTTACACAACAGCCATTTTGCTTCTGCAGTTTCTTCCGAGTGCATGTGGGCAACGTGGGACACAGGCAAAATGGTTTCCATGGCAACTCACACTTCAGAGATGCCAGTGAGAAAATTTGCGTTGGGGGACAAAATATTCTGCTTCAACTCACGTTGTGAGTGAGCACAGAGGTGGGCTGCAGCAGTATCCCAGAACTGGTGGGGTAAAAATATCCCTGGTGGCTTTGGTTCTGCAGTGCTCAGGTTGTTCCCTGCCTGGGCTGCCTGTGGCGTTTGTCCCATGCAATGACAAAGCAACACCCTGTCACCACCTGGAACCTCTTTGCTGTTTTCCAAAAAGGCCAAAGCAGCAGCTCTGAGGAGCAATGTGCTGCTCTGACCACCTCACCCCTCTGGACCTGGAACGGGACAGATGTGGTCCAGGAGTGAAACTCCAACCCCTTCAGCCATGGAGTTGGACTGTCCTCCAGATGTTAGCCCCTGGCTACTGTACCTCCATTTCCTTAAGGGAGGTTAATGGTAGCCCAACAGCAGGTAGATGTTGAGAACCCCAGGAAATCTCCTCAGTAGAGAAATCTTAAGGTCATATCCCAGAGTAATATGGAATTTAATGGAGGGAAATGGCTGGTTGCCCTGTGAGCTAATGTCTGGAAGAGTGGTGGCTCTGTCTGGAGCGACAGAGTGAAGCCAAGGAACCAAGCTGAGCATCTGCTGAACATCTCTGCCTGGGAGTTGTGTTGGTCAAGGGAGGGTTCTCCAGCACTGGAGTGAACACAGACCGTGACGGTGTCCATGTCACACACAACTGTCCCCAGTCAGCGCTGGGGGACCGTGTTGTTCAGAGGTGCTGCATAACTGGTAATACTGGTATGGAGAGCAAAACTGCAGACCCTCTTTCACACCCAGTCTTGTGTGGTTATGCCTGGAGAAGCCCCTGGTTTACCCAATGGCCAGTGTGTCCGCACCTCCCATGTCTCCCACGGCACTCTCCGACCCCAAATGGGCACTGTGGTGAAAAGGAGAGAGCGGGACCCCCAGAGCTGCCCCCACCGCAGCCGCAAGGTCAGCCCCGGACGAGCTCTGCACCCCCCACACCAGCGACACCCGCGGAGGTGCCGGACCCATCGCGACCCCGCAGCCGCCCTCCGGGCACCGGGGGCAGCGGGACCCCGTTCTCTGCAAGGGGGTGCCCACAGATCTCGCACCAGCCC